ATTGGGGAGGACCATTAATAGGAGCCTCTCCGCTTAGGGGTTGGATGCAGGTCGCCTCATTCCCATTCTCCACTGCTCCTGTCATGGGGCGACCCCGAGGGGCACACTTTCCTATTGCAAAATTCAAGTTTTTACCCCCTCTCCTTTTCATTAGGAGGTTTGTGAAGGCGTGTGTCAATATCACAGACTGGTTATCTGAGTGGACTACCCACTCTGCGATTTCCTTGGCTAAAAGATTGGAAATCAATTTAATACTAGACAAGGAATCCGATTGCGGAGTAGTAAGCTGTGTCAGTTCGATCCGGTAGATTTTCAATTCATCCCATTTTGCCACATTGTCTGTAATATGTGCTAAATCCATAAAGGCAAACAGGAGACACACCTTCAACCCCTCCGCTGTTTCGATCACAGACGGGTCATTTTCGGTTCCGCTAGGATTCCCACCTCCCCCAAGTTCTGGAGGATCTGGATCTTTACCAGATTACATACCATAACTGGGAGGGGGAACTCTTTAACGGAATCGTTGGAACATTTAATGTCTCATCCTTACCCATTATCGTAAGAAACCGGACAGTTTGCCCGTCGTGAGAACAAATGAGAGGAATTAGGGGGTTCGAGACTTCCCCACTTATTTTATCTTTTCTTGAGAGTGTGCGCATGGGCACTGCCAAAGCCAAGGACCTCCGAGCCTTTTTCATGACTTGGGGTCGTCCTCTTTTCCTGGGGGAGCTCCTCACGATATCTTCCAAGGGACCACTGTTTTCTTCCTCCAACGACCTTGCCCAAAATCTTAGACCATCTATTTGAGGTCTCCTGATAGAGAAAAGAACAATCGATGCCGGCTGAATGGCGCTCGTCTCGGAAGTCTCCCCTACATGTGGGGAGGAAAACAATCGACTAAATGGGTTGGCCTCCGTCTTGTCTTTAGAATCATGAGTTTTCCTAGGGATATCAAAGATCTCCTAAGATTTCTCTGAAACAGCCCCTGAAGGCGAATAAAAGTTAGAGGGGGAGAGCTCCCCTGCCCCTAGCTCCGAAGATGGAATAATAACCGTTTTTTTATTAATTATCAGGGTCTTACCTTTTGCCCTTTTATGAGTGCACCTCCCTTCCTCGAAGGAATCCTCGATGAAAACCACGTTATTGCATACCGAGCAATTCTTGAGTTTATCTGAAGACAACCGGATCAGCGTAAGAGCCGCCCGTTCTGCTGAATCTGTTGGGTGAGATGTTAATGCTGGTGAATGAAAACCATGGTCGTTTTCCGGTTGACCCTGGGGTTTGGTTGATCCCTGGGAATGGGATAAGAGGTGTCTCTTATACACATCTAGATGTGTATAAGAGACAGGCTTAGAACAGAGGAAGAGTGTGCATGCGAAGACG